CCAATAAGAAGAATAGTCCAGGCTCAATCTGAATTGCAGCTGAGGCCGTCTGATATGAAGCCGTTATTAACCGTCCAACAAAGCGGAACACGTATTGATTTTGCCAAAAAAAATTCAAATTGCTTCGCCCGTCCATTTGCAATAGGTTTATCTCACTGATGGTCAACGAGTAGTTCAACAGGAGGAGGAAAGGAAGTACATATCCATCCCGCCTAACGAGAGAATTAACTCATGAGAACCTTTCGGTTGGTTTCCTGCACAGAGTAATATCCGAAAGTTTATTGCACTGATAAGGGGGATTTTCGATAACTGTCACTCTCAAAAGGCATTCGCGGAGGTAAATTCTTTCACAGATGAAAGTTAGTATATCTTCTCGCATGAGGTTGGTAGTAGAAAACAATTAGGGCTCATTAAATATCATTTTCACATTTATACAGCTTCTGGATGAGTCAAGACCGATATTAAATTCTGTCTTGACCCAGCAGTCGTGATTTGAATGTAATTCTAAACTTTTCGCTGTGTTGGAAACAGGGTCAAGTTAGCTACCTCGATAGTGGTCGTCAATGTTTATGGTGCGGCTATTAATAGAGGAAACTGGCAAATTCTGTTTAGCTGTCAACTTGTTGAACTCCGTGTAGCCGCGACTGCCTGTTGCTTTGCTATTTTACAACTGATGCATCAGCAATCATGGACAAAATAGATACATCTTACGTTTTAACGACATTCGGCTGACAGATATGTTGCGTCTGATGTGGGGCATTATCTTGTTCAATTCCATGAATGAGGCTCGAAGCACTAAGCGTTGGGAGGATTAAATGTGATGAAAATGAGGATGTTCCACTAGTTTGTTCAATACCTCTATATGCCTCACCCTGAACAAATTGTTATCCATGCTGATAGATATGCCTTTCATCCAAATCATCATTCGATAACCAGCGAAAATGTGATTATAATGGTAAAAACTATTTTCAGCACCACACCCCTGACAATCTCCGCTCTCGAGAAACCAGGGTGCATCTAGCTATTTCAGTCAGTTCCAATATTTTCTCTTTCCTTATTTGGATACTTTTGCGCACGGTGTATGAAAACAAAATGATTTCTCCCCTTCACTATGTTGGCGCGCGCGTCTCAACAAACAAAATCGGATAGAAAAAAATAACAACTTTGTCTATACTCATTTAATTTTCTTTGTAATCCTAATTACAATTTCTACAAACACGTACAATACGGGCAGTATAGCTTTGGGAAATGTTGATAGCTTTTGAGGCCATCTGTGTTATCCCACCCACCTCTCTTTAGGTATACATATATACACGAACTAGGTTGAACAGGGTGTATTCGTTGACATATGGTCCAATAAGTGTGATGTTCAACTGACCTTTTTGCGATGGAAATGTTTCCGATAATCGACAAAGAGCACTGGACAACTGTTTCGTCCGAGTAGCTCAGGTCTAAGGGTTTGAAATCCAGTCCCAGACCCAAGATCAATACGAGTGCCTGATGTCTCTGAACAATCGAATGGTCTAATCCAAGCTTGATACTCTAAAATCTATCCTCCTTCTTGTTCTTTTTTACACGTTTCATAAACTGGAATTTCAAGCTGAGTTGCCATCTGCCTGAGTTAAAAATATACCTAACTGGTCACTGTCTCGCGCTGTTCTTATAACTACAACTCCACCGGGATCACTTGCTTGTGTAGGATAGTCAGTTTGTGCTGTTTTACTGGTCTCCTATCAAGTACGCACCGAGATATATACGCTGGCTGCAGTGAAATGGCACAGGACAAGTAATGCAGGCTGTCGCGTTTATTTTACGAATATATCATCATCATATCCGTCTATCCTATGCGATATTGAAAACACATAGCGAGTTTTATGGATTGCTAAGTTTTTGCTAAAAAAAATATTGATTGTATTCATAGTAGATAACAAAATTGCTTGCATTTGAAAGCTGATATTGATTATAGAATTGACAAGTTATTCTCTAATGAGGAATCTTTCAAAACTTGAAGTTTCCCTTACTCCAACGGCAAACGATGCTAATGTATGTACATAACCTGATACTAAATCACGTCTCCAGATTCCCGAAGTTGTTATCTACAGGTCAATCAGTCAGCAAACCAAATGATCACAACTTAAACTTCGCCCGAAAAATGCCGCCATACAAATATCGCGTTATGATCTCCTGTGTTTCATTCTCTTTTATTCTTAAGCACATTTGCTGGTATAAATTGCAAGACCTGCAAAGGACATAATTTCCTATACAACATTTTTTTGGCCGTTTACATGTCATGTAACATGCTTACGAATATGGATAAACAACAACTGGTATTAGACGAGCATAAAGGAAATACGTATTCCATTGGCTTTACATATATAAAACCTTCGGCTATTAGCGTAAGCGCGTGAAGCAGTCCCAGTCCGCCGGTAACATGGCAACCAAAGTCAAAATGAGTCAAAGCGCAAATTACTCATAACGGTTATCATGGCATACAATCTGAGATAAGTGATTTGTTCTTAATTAGCCTTAGAAATCAGCTAATGCACGTGTAGGCTTTTGAAAAAAAATCAATATCACCATAATGGATGAAATTTAAAAACACAGGGGATAATTATTGTTAGGAAGCTGCTGCTATGATGAGTGACGTCCGTGGCCTGCAACAAATTTGCAAAGATGGGTTATGCTATATCGTGTAAACGGAAAATGCAAAATGGTCTAATAAGCTGCCCGGTGGCCGAGTGGGTTACATGCTTGCGTTCGGGTTCGATCCCCACTGGGGCTGATGCATTCGCAATACTGATGAGACTCAACCAGGTGGGAACAGCTGTAAAGTGCTTCTTAGCTTTTCAGTTCATGCTTCATTTCCCATTTACACGAAGAATTCAACTTTGAATCACAGGGAATCACTTGGGACACTGTCACCGGTCAGGCTTTTCAGAATCAAATAATTTACAACTCAATGCACTGGGTTTATCCTCTGCCAGAGACGGGAACATTTGCAACAGATCGTGCGAAGGTTCATTGAAGTTGCCCGATGAAGTGACTAATACTGACGGTGATACACTAGTTTCATTGGTTATGTTCAATGCATTATTCGCAGTGAAAACAGGAGTTTGTCGACACATCTCTGTTAGAAAAAAATGACAATTTCATAGCATTAATTTACATGATCTTCCATTAGGCTGTTATCTAGATTCTCCGTAGCGGTAATGATTGTGCACTTCAAAGGGAAATTATTTAAAAATTTAGAGATGTCTAATAATTTTCGAGCACAGTTTAATGGTTTGAATCACTTTAACGCTATCCACTGTAGCAATGGGAAGGATTCGCTGATAATCTCTAGAGAGTTATCGATTCAGGTTTAAAAATACAACACTTTGATATCGGTTACACTTCGCCGAATAGTCAGTGATAATTTCTTACAATACAAAGGTTGAACAAATTTTGAGCAGTTTTCTGGCAGGAATATCACGCAATCTTCAGAGATATCCGGAGGGTAGCAAATTCACCACTAATCAAGAGCCTTGGCGACTTTGACTTTATCGATATACACTATAAATATTACAGTGAAAGATACCGGCCAGTTTTCAAAAAAAGGAATTCGCCAAATTCATTACGGCAACACTTGGATTCGAAATACAGGGAAGAAAGTAATAGCCTGTACACCAGATCGTAACCAGTACCAAGTAGAATTGTCCGCGCCCAGTACATTTGGGGGAAACAGGCAAATGTTTCACCTAACGGCTGCATACAGGACAAGTCCCCCGGATCCACCCAACAACTCAAATCTATATCACATGAGATTAAAGGGGAAAATTGAAAAATCAAAACAACATCAATGAGCCTTTCACGATCAATGTGTGCAAGCATGTGAACACAAATAACAACCCGTAATAACCAGAATGTATACTAATAAACTTCATTAGTTCCTCTTACTTTACTTCTTGTTTCTACCTAAGTAAAGACTACAAATTCAAGCTGGAATTTCTTTCACCACTTTATGGACGACGGAACTTCACTTTCCTCACGTGGAATTCGAAACTCGAGGTATCTTGCACGTCTACTCGCAAACAAAGAGAGGGATTATAAAATGTCCCCATATCTGTAACCAGGTTCTCCTCATTGAATGTGCGCTTTGTGACAGTTGGCGTGTATGGTTTTTTTAACTGAAATGTAAACCTCAGTGCTTGCAAAAGTGATACACAATACAATACAATACAATTGGTATTGACAGTGGCTGTCGGTATGGAGTTTTCCTAGTTGCTTAGTTTTATTAGTTAAACCATCCGCTTCTACGGATAACGAGTCTAAAAAGATCAGAATTTCGCATCAATGAACTGTAGATACGGCTGGAATGTTACAGGTCTGTATCCACTGAGCAGCACAGAATATGATATGCTAATATTTGCATTCTACTGAAAACGTAAATTTGGTTATTACTTTCTATCAGGCACTTTACCGGGTACATCGCGTTGTGCAACATCCTGCACCGCGGAACGGGTTCTTCTCTGGGAGGGGCGGGAGGATGACGCGCGCGCATGATTCATATGGTTGAGCCAGGTTTAAGGAGTTAGCTGGATTCCTGGTGTAAATCTCAACAGCCCCTCTTGCATGGCAATGAATACAAAATTACCGTATGCAGTTCGTGTTACAGTTGATGCGACTACATGGGCATGGTATATGCCCTCACAGGCCACTGAAAATATCTGCATGCTGCAAGATCAATGTGAACGTCCCATCGTTGAAAGCGGGCAGTCCTTGGATAAAACAGGTCAGGGTTCAAGTGAACCTAACGTGCCAGATCGACTATGGAATACCCATTGGTTTTGAGGCAATGGATAAACTACCGAGAGAATGAACGCCGTCATTTACAGAGTTCGGCATTCATTCATGAAAACCAAAATTGGGACCCGAGGAGGAGATCACATGCAGTTTCAGTCTGAGGGACACGGTATCCAACCGGAATAAATGGCGGCTGTCTCACAACACAGATTTTGGCAATGGTTTGGTGGGTTTGGGCTTCAGAGCATAGTCCAGAGTATCCAAAAGATAGTAAAAGGGACTACTCAATCCTTGATAATCCATTATCAATCGCACATTTGATTAAAAAATGCCAGTATGTTGCCTGGATTAACCAATACAAGGGTGTTCGATGTGGAACCTGAATTACTCACTAGCGCAAGGCGTTTCGCTCTTCGTAAAACGATTCTGCATAATTAGCCACATTTTTTCCAAAATCAACCCCATTTCGAGAACGGCTAAATAAGTGTCCATTGGTGGAATGCTCATGAAATGGATGCTCCCTTTTCAATGTTTAGAACAATAAAAACACTTTATTTTCGAATAAATTATCCCATTTCACAACTGTCGACGTTTTCCATTTCGCCAGAATATGACTTTACAGAGGAGAATGCAAAAGATCGTTTTATAATTGTAATAAACATTCCTGAAAAAAATGAGCCCGCGATGTATCAAAGATTGGCGTTGCCGAACTGAGCGGTTCAGTCTGATTTATTGTCCGAATTTCGAGAGATCGTTCACACATTGTTGCAACACTGCAAAACCCGGATCTGCAACAGGATGTGTGTATTCACTCGAATTTCACACGGTAGACTGATACCATATCAGATTAGTTAGGTTCCTGTTTTGGGGTTGTGATTCTCGAAGCCTAGTATGCATAGTTGGTCCAGAATGCGCCAAATAAATCCAAATATCACTGTCTGACGACGCGTCTGTTGGGCTAATTGTCTGTCTAACTATTTGCCTCACTGGCCGACTGGCTGGATGGGCGTTTGTATGAATTCTCTGAAATTTCTATTGTTAGCATTGGATCACGTGATGGATCATCAAAAGCATATTACACGCTATACTATCAGGAACAGCAACTAATACACTGAATTTTGTGTCCACTGTTTTGTTTTCCAGTTTTAACTGTAACAATAGTGCAAGCTGTTGGACATTCGTTATAATTACCATTCTCGGGCTACCTATTGATCATGATGTCTGTGCCCCAGGTACAATCACCTGCTTCTCACTGTGGACTCTGATTTGTGCGGGTCGAATGGTCATGATTCTTCAGTTTCATTCAACGGAATTCCTTCTAACACGAAAACAGACGCAAAACGGATAAAGCCTCATGCTTCAATATGAATTCCATACAACACGTGTAACTCATTCCAAGACATTGAGCGGTTTGAAACTGTGTTGCCCCAGTTGACTAGGATGAACTAATCAGAACGCGTCCGACAAATACAGATCTGGTACAGTCGTTCCATTTTCGGCAAAACCAATCGGCCCGTTTTCTGGAAGCGATGTAACAGACTCGAACCCCGGTCTCCTTTGCACGAGAAGCACAAAACGTGGTCTGGTTCTCGTTAGCTGAACATATGCACACACACACTTGACTTTGATTTGGTACATTGTGTATATAAAGATATTGTAAACAAACCCATGCTGGCAGCGGTGGAATAACACTTTCCATGTATAAACAAGACGCCTACATGAATTGCAGTACATCCAAGTTTTGTTTTGTTTTCGCCTCAAAAACACACCTCGATGTCTACTCCGGTTCACCCGAATGGACGATGGTCCAACGGTGTTTTTGTGTACTTGATGGCAAATGTCAAAGCCAGGGGTTTATTTGCATGCACATCGTATCTCCCATTTTGAGATAACCCCTATCGGTGATAATCAAACTCATCCGGACCCGGGGGGTTGATTATCCGCTAAACAGTAATGTTGGTTGTCAAAACTTCGGGGCGTAAACTTTATCTTGCGAACATATGATACATAAATGCGGTCCATGGGATCAATCCTCGTAAACGTCTCTTTTACTGTAAAATGAAAACAAAAGTGCGACCAATGAGGCTTGTGGTAGTCTACTTTCTCGTTCGGTTTACCGAATTACGGTGCCTAATTACAAGGAATGCGTTACGATGAATCGCATTCTTTGTTATAGACTTGCTTTGGGAAACAGGCCTTTCCTCGTGCTTTGTTCCCAGATAACAAACTGTCTGGTCCGGAGTATGCTGACGACATTTTACTAATAAGTGAAGATCCCGGTAAGTTTCAAGTCTTTCCGGCAAGCTTGAGTGCCAACGTGGCAATGGTTACTTGCGTGATTTGCTCCCTAAAAGTGTAAAACGTTGCTACAAGGCGGCGTAAGTTCAGCCTTCAGCCTCAATCGAACTGGGGAATTAGTGGAGCAAGTGGACAAGTTTCGTTTTTTCGGTTAGTGACGCTGAGTGAAATGGCTGGGTGTCACAACCTGTAGCGCTTGTGCATCATCTCAATCTCCGCAACCTCAATTCTTCAGATTTTTCCCTCCACATTCAATTTCACCTATCTATGCTCTTTTATCCGCATTGGCAGCCAAAGGACAAGAAGTAAAAGCACCGCATGAAAGTGCTTGGTTGATGGTTTTAAAAACTATTGCGGATACTCAGTAGGTGACTGACTGGACAAAGTGGCCTAGTAAGCGCATGATCGTTTTCGTGGTGATTGCCGTTCATCAGGTATGCGTATCCGATAATTCCCTCCTCTATTGACACACACATGTACATGTTACAATCCAATTAATGATTATAACTTTGAAAAAAAACTATTCCGAACTGAGATAGGCATGAAATGCGTGTTATTCACATCAATTGAAAAAAAATAAACATTTAATAATGTTTTTTCATTCTGATCAAGTGTTTGCAGATAATATCAAAACAAGGAACAACAAATCAATACAACGCACAACATTACCCACCGATGATTTGTGAGGATGATTACCAATCACAACCTTTCTTTTATCTAAACAGATGAATAGTATTCGATATTTACAGTTATTTTATTCACATTATGTCACAGAATAGTTGATGACTTAACGTGACAATGTTGCTAGAGGGAAGATAACCATGGAAAACGAGATCATCCCTCAGTCACACGATTTCGTGGTAGAAAAACTATCTACTGTGGGCGAAACTATAAGAAAAAATATTCCATTTTAGTCGAGTAGAGTCGTGTCTCATTTTGTCAAAATTTTGCGAAGGACTAAAACAGCCGCTCTCTTCGATTTTCAGTTTCGATGATGATGATGATTGGGATGATGTTGATGTTGATAATGATGATGATTCGGATGATGATAATGACGATGAAGATGATGATGTTGATTGGGATGATGATGATGCTGATGATGATGATGTGTTGATGACGATAATGATGATGTTTATGCTGATGATGATTCGGATGATGATGATGATGATGTTGATGAAGATTCGGATGATGATGATGATGGTGATGATTCGGTTATGATGATGATGATGATGATGATGATGATGATGATGATGATGATGTTGATTTGGATGACGAAGATGATTAGATGATGATGATGATGATGATGATGATGATGCTGATGATGATGATGATTATGGTGATGATGTTATGATGTAGATGATGAATTGAGGATGATGTTGTTGATGATCCGGATGTTGATGATGATGATGTAGGATTCGGATGAAGATGATGATGATGATGAATCGGATATATGATAATGGTGATGATGATTATGATTCGGATATTGATGATGATGATGATGATGATGATGATGATGATGATGATGAGGATGATGATGATTCGGATGATGATGATTCGGATGATGATGATGATTCGTTTGCGATGATGATGATGATGATGATGATGATGATGATGATGATGATGATGATGATGATGAATCTGATGATGATGATGATGATGATGATGATGATGATGATGATGATGATGATGATGATGATCATGATGATGATGATGATGATGATGATGATGATGATGATGATGATGATGATGATGATGAGACATGATGATGATGATGATGATGATGATGATGATGATGATGATGATGATGATGATGATAATGTGATGATGATGATGATGATGATGATGATGATGATGATGATGATGATGATAATGAAGATGATTTGATGATGATGATGATGATGATGATGATGATGATGATGATGATGATAATGAAATGATGATGATGATGATGATGATGATGATGATGATGATGATGATGATGATGATGATGAGGCAAATCGAATCAGTAAGGTTTGCATTAAAAATCCATTAGAACAGTTTCCACATTTCCACATTACGTATGAAACAAGCACTGTACACATAGTTTAGCATAAATCCCAGTGAAGTTTTCTCTCCAGACACCTCAATTGTCAGAAAGATGTCGATGTGGTGGTTCGGAAATGAGTGAAAAACGAAGCAACGAACTGCATTGTTTCAAATTATGTGTCTATTCTATAGTACAATGTTTGATCATTCATTTTGTTGCATTTTCGGGTTAATATTAACTGGATAATTGTTATTTTCAACGATGCGCATGTTACTTCCCAAAGGTGTTGTTCCTAATGATTGTTCTGCGTTCGTTTCCCGGCATTGCTTGAACTCTTGCGACATCGTAACGTTCACCAATGCCTTTCGTTTTTGAGCCTCACACACGGGAATAGACAAGATATTACGCCATACCAGGCACAACATATCCCCGATGTTTGTGGTGATCCTAGAGTACGACGTGTTAGAGTCTCTGAACAACGAACCACAGGCCAACAATGTCAATCAATCTAAAGCCGTGCAGTTCAAACTCAAGGTGTGTGACGTCACGAATAAAAGCGGGCTATTGGCGAAAACCGTTTTACCCAATAACATTCCTTTGTACATGTTATTTAATCTTATTGATTTTTCAATAAACCTACCGATAATTCTTCAGCCGTTTTCCCGAGACTCCGCAGAGGGTGAGATTCCGGCTCAAGATTGCTAGTGCGATTCCGTGTTAAATTTGCTACTGTGATTCGTGTTTCATGCTCCTCGCCTAATCCAATTAGCACAGAGTTATCCAATTTTATTGTTGGTTCTATTGTTCTATTGTATGATAAACGTACCGTTTCTTGGCTTCGACCATGGTCGATGGTGCATCAGTTGTTGCATAACCGAATGTCACTAAAATAAGTTGCAAAGATGTATCGCTGACAAACTACGAAAAACATGACACATTTTGTAATTTCGTTCATTTCTCAACACTTTTTGTGCCCCCTCGTGCAGTTGGACCTTTTGGTATGCGGTCCATCAAGTTGGTAGCCTGTTCTCATTTATCAGTTTTCTCCAGACCTTTGCGTGCTTTGGCCCTCAAGACTACTTTCCAGTTGACAGACATATATATATATATTCTTTACAGAGAACTACGATCAATTACTTTTGCTTCGATCTATTAAGCATAAACTGACTTAATTGGATCCGGGGAATGACCAATTCAAATATGTTCTGAATAAGAGAAAACAAATCATCTTTCTATGAATCCTCATGTGAGACATGAGAGAGAGTTATTTTGAAAAATGCCTGATTTTTCCAACGCGTTGCCAGTGTGACTGGTCATACCGGACAACTTGCCTGCACTATCCAACATGCCATGTAGAGCACTTCAAGGACAAAGTGATCTGCCGCTCACATCATTATGCTTGACAAGCGCATCCTTGAACGGATGAGCTACAATATCTCGTCCTCGCTGGGCTCTAGAATTTATCTACCCAAATTTTTAAATATGCGTACTGTTACCACATACACAAGGGAATTATTGTTAAACATAAAGGATGCTATTGTGAAAAGCTATATTACCATGTTTGGCGTGCCAGTTGCTAAACAAGCGCACAAATACTACAAACGCGGAAAAACGATTCATGCCGGTTAGCAAACTGCCCTGGGTCGTCGTACTACGTCCAGCAAGATGACCGTACCTACCATTGTGGGTAACAACATCCGTTCTGTGTTCGGGAAGCTTCCGGACTTATCCTACCTGCTCCAGCGAAAGGAATTCCGCAACTCTCATGTCTTGTGTCTTCAGGATTCATGGTTAAATGAGGATGTGGACGATTACGTGGCCCAAATGGAAAATTTCGTCTGCTTCAGACAAGACAGACAACGGTGTAGGAACAATCTGGGAGGCGGTGTGATTACCTACATCAATTCCAATTGGTGCGGCAAGTCCGACGCACGTTTTAAGCATTCACAGAATGGCGTTGATTACTTGACTGTCGTCTGTCACCCCAAATTCTCCCGCTTACTTTTTGTCGTCATCACTAACTTGTACATTGCACCCCAGTGTAGATTGTCAGACAGTGATACATTTTATGATCATTTCCTACCAGTTATTGCTCCATCCCTTGCTGACAGCTTGCACCTAATATTCGGTGACTTTAACCATGCCTCTCTGCAAACTTTATTCAGTCTAAATCTCAGTGACCTGATTATTGAACGGATTAGAGGAAACTCTCATCTAGATCACATGATCACAAACCACACATAATCCACCAAACAGTTCTTTCGCTTAGGGACCAGTGATCTTGATCTGATCTTGGTCAGATCTAAGATTTACTCACACTCAGGACATTTTTCTTTAAATACATTGTGTTCCGTCAGTAAGATCTTTCCCCAGACAGTACTGTCTTGCTTGGAAAGTCTCTTGAGGTAGTTACCAATTGTATTCCTTTAAACACAATGACAGAAGTGGTAAACTGTGATTTGAAATTTGCTGTTCTATGATCACTTTGTTCCCTGAACATGAAAGAATATCAACACCTTTCCTTAAATGACGTCGTGAATAAGAACGTGCAAATAAACTTGGCAGGAGGGCTGAAACGCAATCATTATCTTTTCTGATCAAGGGTTAAATAAGACGGTTGGACGCCCTTTATGCAAGTCAGTTTTTTGGGACGAGGAACTATGAATCTGTGTGGCGTATAATCAATCTACTCTGCAGACAGAAGAAATTGCTTTCCAGGCACTATATTGATATTGAAAAACTGAATGCTGCATTTATTCATTCTTCTCCCGACACATCCCAGTTATATTGATTCCAGTTCTCCAAACATTCCGTCTTTGTCCGTTCCCATCAAATCTCTATAGTGATATGTATAAACATGTGTTCTTTCAAAGTGTCGATTGCACTTGGTCCAGACAAATTAAGTCCTACTCTTCTTAAACACGATGCTGTGCCACTATCGCACACTTTGCAGACATAGGTAATCTTTCCCTCGAGCTTCCAACTATTCCTGATTACTGGCGCCCAGTGAGAATTACTCTCATCCCCAAAGGAACGTCTAAGTCCCCAACAGCGAAGCGTTTCAGACCAATGGTTCAAACTTCCACTGGTTTAAAATCGATGAAGCGATCAGTTCTGCATTGCCTTCAATTATTCCTTACCACCCCGATGATATTTATCAGTTTGCATATAGTCATCACCGCTCTACATTGGATGCTGTTTCTTCTTTAGTTCACTTCATCTGTAAGTCCCTTAACCAAAAACCAAAATATGTGCACTGTGCATTTTTAATTATACTTCCTCTTTTGATTTAATGCCCCGTTCTCGTTTACTTAACAAGCTCTAATCTTTCGGCTGCCCCGCCTCTCTACTTGAATGGCTCACTGATTACGGTTCGTAAAAATACCAGTACGTTTATTTGGAAAGAAGACATTCAAGGGCACCATTCAGTAGTTCCAGTGTACTTCAGGGGGCTGTCTTATCACCTTATCTTTTTGCGACCTATATCAGTGACTTGTCTTGTACTCACCCTGTACGAAACTTTAGGTATGCTAATGATATCCTGATTTCTGTTTCCGTATGTGACTAATCAGAGGGAGCTGAATATAGCGCAAACTTAGCCCACTTCGTTTCGTATTCCACTTCATCCGGTCTTAATCTGGTTTTCCGAAAAACGCCTTGAATGTATTTTTACTTTACACCGTTCCCCATCTCCCTCCGACAATGTACAGATTAAGGAAAAAACGATGAGCTGGGTCAGCCATGTGAAGTACTTGAGTGTCACACTTAAACATGGTTCTTACATACCCAAACTGTTGCTCACAAGTTGAAAGTTCTCTCTTTTCAGATGAGAAGACTGCGCCACTTTGTTCTGATTTGTCAGTGGTAGACGCTTTTGTTCTTTAATGCGTTCTCCCTTTTTCCCTTTACTGCTCCCTTGTAATTCTCCTTGATTTGCTGAAGGCCGATTGCAAGCTGATGAGGCGTGGCCTCTCAATGATCAGCCGTGTCTCCCAAATTCTGTTGTCTGTTCCGATTGTCAATATGTGTAATGATCATATTGATGCGCGCTTAAAGTTTGCTGACAATATCCTGTCTGATCGCACACACTGACATGTGAGCGTGCAAATCCCACCCTTAAACCTGTTCAAAGTACAAACTTATTCCGTCTCGCATGTCTGCAGATTCAGGGAAAGCCAATGCGCAGGATTAGCTAGAATTGTAACGGTCTCATATTTTTGGTTGAAAGCTTGTATGTAACTCGCTAAAGCTTTAATACAAAACAATAAAATACACTAGTTGATCCTATTCCGATTGCAGTTTACCTTGTCATGCATTCTGGTTAGAAATATTTCCAGCAGTGTCATAAACATGGAGGACAGGCAAAGCCATGATCTTCAAGGTTTGATGCCCACATGAAGCACGCACAAATGCGTTCTTCTATATCGTGCACGGACCGAGTGAAGTAAACTGTTTGTCTGTGTCTCTATTACGGTTGCGGTCTCTGAACGATCGAATCATCGTTACAGTATTTCTACACGTCTACTCGTTCAGTGATCTTTGCGCAGTTTCTCACCTATTTGTTCATAGTTTCTTAGAAAAGGGTTTTATATGATAGCCAAACACTGCCTTGTCTTTTCTGCCACGATGATATATATATATATACTTGGGTACAGCATGTCACCATGGTGGTTATACCTTAGTAAAACTGTCTTTACTCTTACGCTTATGCAATTATATAATCGTGAGTACGTCTTTCTTGTTTCTCGTAGTTTTCATATTTTACGTTTAGTTTGAGAGCCAGAATGTGTTTTTAGAGGCTTGAACAGTGAAACCTAAACTGTGAACCACAGTAAACCGAATGACGCTGCCCCAAGCG